CTCCCTGTGCCCTGCAGTCAGGACTGTGGCCCCCACAGGCGCCAGTGCCAGCGCCTCCTGGGGACGTGGCGGTGGCCCCCAGCCCAGGTTGGCTGCAGGTTTCCAGGGGGCCATCGGCGCCAGGAATTGCCAGGCTCTCTGCTCTGGCTCCGGCGGGGCTTGAGAAAGCACAACTCTCGCTCGAGGATGGTGCTCACGTGGTACCTTTGAGGCCTCGTGTGTGGTGTCCTCCTTTGTGTCCTTTGAGGACGGGGGAAGCCATATTTTTTCTAATCAATTTAAAAAGTTGAAATCTTTGCGAAGCTTCATAGAAGTCCTTCTTTTCCTTCTTTTCAAATAACCTTCCGACCTTGAGTTTTTCTTTAAAGTCTGTGTCAAAGAATAACATCAGCTGGGCCAGAGGGCAGACGGTTGGCAACCCGTTCGGCACACAGAGCGGCAGTGGGAAGGGAAAGGCAAGACGCTTCCCAACTTTGCTCACATAAAATTCCACTGACTTCCTCTCCAGGGCACAGAGTTATATGGGAACTCTTAAAAGAAAAAGGAAAAGAAACTCTGCTTTTTAATCCTGCTTTGAATTTACAACTGAGGAAGAAATTGGCCTCACGTCTTGCATGCATTGTGAAAAACGACCTTGAACTGGGCAGAAAAATTGAGAAAGCACCAGAGGAGTGAAGCCGAAGTGACAAAGAGGAATACGGGGCTTATTTTATAATTACGTGTGTAAACAGCAGACAGCACTGCTTGCTATGAAAAATAGTAGCGCCTGACCCCTGTGTCCCTATTCCTGGTCTCTCAAGTAACGTCTATAAACCCGTTAGTAGCCTCTATATAATTCTCTTAATCCCTGTATTTCTCAGCAAGATGCTTTCAGTACACTTTTTTGATTTTTGTACATTAATTATTATTGATTGAATTTTTACTGTGACTGGTGAAAATTTAAGTTTCTTCTAATCCATTTCAAGCACACGTGCACGCACACACACACACGCTCTCTGTCTGCCTGTCTCTTGCTCTGTGTCTTTCTCTTCCTGTTCTCTCCAAAGAGTTGCATCACCAACTCTAGTTACGTCACTATCTAATCTGCGTCACGACGACTGGCCGTCGCTGGGTCACGTGGTGTACTATAATTATGTCCCCCTTTCCTGTATGACCTTTTGTTTTTATGGGAGCTAATAATGGCTTTCTTTTAATTGTTTCCTTGGTTTTCTAGATATTTCTTACTAATTCATTCCAAAGCTTTCTGAGGGACCTGGAAATCTCCAAATACATCCACGATATCAGCAGTTCACACTTTCAAGTTCTTCCTGGAGCATCGTCACCCTGGAGTATCGTCACCCCGGAGCTGTGGGGCCTCTGCTGGCATCTGAACTTCTGCAGTCCCGGAGCTCCCGTCCTATTACCATTCCCGCGGGGATTCTTTTCAGCTCTCTCCTCAGGGATCTTTTGTGTTTCTTACATCCCATGTCTCTGTTTTCCCTTTGATTTATCTGGAAATGGAACTTGGGAAGTAAAATTTTGAATTTTTTGTGACCTCACTCTATTAGTTTTTATTAGTGTCATTGAAATATAATTTCCCTGCTGGACAGGTCGCCCATTTAACATTCTCACAACAATCAATTTTAGAAGATTTAGAATGTTTTTATCATCCCCAAGAGAAACCCATCCTCGCCATCCCTCAAAGATAAGGAACCTTCCCCTCACCTCTCTGCCTTCAGCCTTCCGGTACAGAGACCTGAGGTTGTCCACACCTATACATTTTCTAATTAGTTCTCCTCAATAAGGTTTTGGGACTTTTTCTCTATCCCTTGTGCTAAAAGCTCCCCCGTGTAATGCCTTGTTGTAACCGGAACTTGCTGTGACCTTAAAATAATGGAAACTGATTTTTTGGTTCCCGGAGATTCTACTCTTTGATGATAATTGTTGTTATGCTCACCTCAATTTTCTCCCTTCAATTTTTTTAAATTATTATTATTTGTATGTTGAATCTCTTGTATTAAGCTTTCCTTTTTGCCTCCAAATGAAATGCTAACTTGTCCTCCTTTGAAAAGCTAGATCATTGCCAAGATTGAAATTATTGTGTGACTTTTCCTGTCCCCACCTGTGTGCTTCCTCCTGGACGTGGAACCATTCTCCTTATTGGGGGTTTGTTAATACCTTGCCTTTAAAAAGATATCTCTCTCTCTCTCTCTCTCTCTCTCTCACACACACACACACACACACACACAATCTCCTTTTATTGACTATATAAAGTCATTTTTGCTGTACTTAGCTTTTGCAATTTGTCTTTCTCCACTCAACATGGTGCTTCAGAGGGTCATCATTCTTGTCCATGTCTACTGGAGTATGGGAAGAGCATGACAGGATTGGGTACAAAAGGATAATGACAAATTCTTTTCCAGGGAGACTCTGTCAGTGTTCTCTCTCTCTCACTTTCTCTCTCTCCAGTGATGTTTTAGAATTCTTGTTGTTCAACATATTCACCAACGTTTGGAAAATGTTGTCTTTGGTTGCGTCTTCATCTGTAAAATGGAGAGTATATAATGCCTACCACGTAGCATTGCAGTGATAATTAAATCAATTTATGTATATATGTATGCATAGATTCCTACTTCTCTCTATATATCTTATAATCGTACTTAGCATAGAATAAACAGTATATAAATATTAGTGTTAGCAGCTGTGATACAGCAAATGTGTCATTGATATATTATAGGAAAATAATCCTGTTAGTGATCTATGTATACTCCAGTGATAACAAAAGACACTACAGGAAGGAATATAAAATCTTAAGTGGAATTAAACTGTGAAAGAAATACACATCAACAGTCTATCAGATTGGAAGATTAGGACAGGCTTATCTAATAAGGTTTGAGGTCTGAAGGAGCCAGAGGCAGACAGGAGATGGGACATGAGGAGGAGTCTAACAGCCATAACTGCATGTGCAAAGGCCCTGAGGCAAGACAGTTTAATCAGTTTCAGGAATGGACAGAAAATGAACATGATGAGTGTTTGGTCTTAATTCTAAAATAAGAGTGGTATTTTAAGCAGGGGTGACATAATATTATTTCATTAGAAAACTAAGCCTCTGACTGTGCAGAAGGTTTGAGGAGGTAGTTTAGATTCAAGGAGACCAATGGGAAGCAACTGCAATGGTCCTGGCCAGAGAGGATGGGCAGGGCCGTGGCATGAGGATGGAGAGAGCGGGGTAGTTCTAGAAAGGTGGGGAGGTAACGTGATGGCCATGGATTCAGTCTAGGGGAGGAAGGGGCCTGGCGGACCAAGGACTCTTCCCTTCTGGGGGTGGCAGTAGCGTTTCTGAGGCTGGGACTCTGAGGCCCTGTTGCGGTGTGAGCAGGTGAGGGGGTTGGTCGGATGGGGGCAGGTTAGATCGGAGATATCGCCGTGCCGTGGAGGGACAGGCCAGATCACAGAAGGGTGTGATGGGGGCTTCGGCCACGTGAGTGACCAGTCACCCTTCAGGCAGTAGTACTGGGTTTGTCCATATTTTTTGGTAAGTGTGAGAAATTGTTCCCTTCCTTTTCTCTCTCCTTTTCTCTCTCCTTTTCTTTGGAGAACTTACGTGAATTTTTCTCACTGCCTGTGACTGAGGGGCTCTTGAGTTCATTGCCTCCATCTCTGCGGGTTGCACGCAGGTCACCATGGGACATTATCAGCAGAAAAACAGAAGCCAAAGGAACTGCCTTAAGGAGTTGGAAGTTAATTGCCTGTGGCAAACAGGTTGCTATTTTGGGTGAGGAAAATTATCTAGTGCAAAGGACCCGAGTTACTGCTGAGGCCCTTTCTCAAGGCCTGCTGGTGCTCCTCAACCTCCGGTCGTGGGCTCAGGCCTGTGGGGGGGGCGGGGGGGGCGGGGGGGGGGGGAGATGTGCCCTGGGGCAGATCCGGCTTCTGCAGGTAGTCTGACAAAGCTGCTGGGGAGAAGGGAGAAGAGGAGACGGTCAAGGTGAGGCTTGTTTTCAAGCGTGTGCGATTTTTGCGACAAGTCAACCAGCGTGAATGAGGCCGGCTGCTCTTTTAAAGAAACGTTCCTGGCCAGTATCGCTTCAGGCAGGACACTCGGCCCCTTCCTGGCGTGAGCCTGAATCCAAAGATTCACCCTGGGAAGAGAAGGGTTCCAAGTGCTGCAGCCGACAGAATGTTCTCAAGGATTATAAACTGGTGCCTACTTCTAGTATTTTAAACATTAAAAAGAAAGATGCTCAGGTGGGTTTCTCTGTCTAGTTTCACAATAATTCCAAAAATCCGAGGCAGAGGGGAAAATGTGTTTTCCACATGAAGGTGGGTTTTTTTTGCCAAGCCGGTGGGGTGGACCTCCACTCCGGGAAGTCGAATAATGGCTGTTTTCCCCTCTGTAATTCTGTGCAATAGGACGTGATGACAGGGGCTGGCCCTGGGCCCGGCTCCCTCTGGGCTGTTGCTGGAGGTGGCGGGGACTGTCTCCACGGCTGCGACAGCCAAGGAGAAACCCGCCGTCTCTTAGAAACTCAAGCTGTTATTTTTGCGGTGGAATCTAATTTGTTTTGTTCCCAAATCAGTATTCCAAGTGAAATTTCTAGACCAATTTGCAACTTTTTACTGAGATTATTTTGCCATGTGGGACTCCATTAAGTTATTACCTTGTATGAAATGAATGCTCAGCATAAACAAATACCCAATTATGTCTGCAGCCTCTTGTGCATGACCAATATTTAGAGCTTACAAAGGGCCACCCGTTGTCCTAAGAGTTTAAAGGGTCTTAAATCACTGAACACTCATAATCCTTTTAGGTTGGGATTTTGATCATTCCCATTTTCTGGATGAATGGACGGTGCACAGGTGGGTCAGTTACCTAGCTGACAGGAGGGGGCTGAGCAGTGGGGCTGGGGTTTGATCCAGGACTGTCTCACTCAAGCACCAGTTCTCCGGCAGGCACCCCTCCATGGCAGAGGTACACCTTTGCAAGTCTGTGGTCCCAACGACATTTTATTTTCTCTTAGGAGTGACTGGGTGACCTCCTACAAGGTCATGGTGAGCAATGACAGCCACACATGGATCACGGTTAAGAATGGATCTGGAGACATGGTGAGTCTCTTCTTCCCCTTGACCTTGCCCTGGGCCTAGAGAGGCGATATGTGCTGGGTCCCCGTGAGCATCGATGTTTCCTGATTCTGTGTCAACTCCAAACCAGCAACCGTGGGATCTGATGTATAAATGGCCTCTATCGGTCATGGGAGCTCAGCCCCAAGCAGCCCGCAGAGCTGCTGGGCTACAGTCTCTGACAATTTACAGGTCAGCACAGGAGAAAAGTAGCACATGGGTTATGCCTGTGCTGCTCCCAACTGTTTGATTATAATAGTTTTCTGACTTTCTCTAATGACACTGATTTTTCTAGCACGGGTCATTCTTAATCACTCCACTTTCTTCTTGAGGTTCCCAAATGCATATTCCTGATAGGTCTCCAGCGTCTCACACAATCAAACTGGAGCCTCTGCTTTCAACCTTCTTTTTCATTCTCACCCCCGTATGCACTCCCATGTTCCGGTAAAAGCAAGCCAGTTGCTCTTCTCTCTCCGAGTTCCAGGTCTGAGCTTCTCCAGCTATTGCTCTTCCTTTTCTCGAGCTAGAGACCTAACTAGCTTTCCTTCAAGGCCAATTCAAATGGCACCTCGTTCCTGAAGCTTTGCCTGGTCCTTTCCATAGGAAAACCCAGAGCTCTGTGACTGTCTCTTTGCCCCAGCACGAATAGGTTTCTTCTCTAATATCTACGTATGATACATCCCACGGTCATCCCCTTGCTATGTGGGGGCTTCCCGAGGGCAGGATCCAGACCTGGTTCGTTTCTCTTCCTCAGTGCCCAGTGCACAGTAGGTGTTCTTCAATAAGATCCTGGCAATGAGTGAATTACTCTTCTCTCCCTGAGTAATCAAGCTCTAAGAGATTCTTTTCCTTGGTATGTAAATAGGTATTTGAAGGCAACAGTGAAAAGGAGATCCCTGTTCTAAACGAGCTGCCGGTGCCCATGGTGGCCCGCTACATTCGCATCAACCCGCAAACGTGGTTTGACAACATATGCATGAGGATGGAGATCCTTGGCTGTCCACTGCCAGGTGAGTTTGCCCTTCATGCTTCCGGGTGGAGAACAGGTGCCTAGTCCAGGTAAATAAAATAAACTTTGCTGTCTTGTTCTCATGTTAAAAAATACCACATCTATTGTAGAATATTTAGAAAACATAAATCAGCTAAAAAAGAAGAAGTTCTCCCCAAATCTCACTCAGTCCTGGGAATATTTGGGGTCTCAGTCACATGCCCAGTGTGGTTTCACCCACTGGGATTTTAAGATGATGCATGCTTTGAAGCTTAGAAATGCGCGCAACAGTACTACTCAGAGTGAGCAGACACACTACACAGCATTGTTTGGTGGCACATTCAGTTGTCCTTGAGTGCTCCACGGCACTGGGTAGAGGCGGTGGGGGACGTTCATTTCAAACTTGACCATTGATATAGTTTCTTTCTGTTTAAGTAGCTTCACCTGGATGCCTTATCTTGGGGTAAGTGCTTGTTCCTTTAGTTGTGTTCCCCTGGCCCTGTTTCCACACAATCATGTCTTGTGAATGTGACCTCAGCAAGGCCGGGCGTAAGGGGCTGGACTTCACACATCTGGCTCCTGCTGGTGTTTGCTCTGGACAAGCTGATCTGGTCTGGCTTGGGGTGGGTGTTATCTGGCCTTTCAGAGGTCAGGAATCTGTGCCAACATGGAACCTGTAGGCATCAGACTTGCCATCCTGACCAGACATCTCCAGGGAAGGAAGCTGGCTCCCAGAACATTCCTCAGGCCCTTCATTCGGGCTGGGGAATGTCTCCATTGTGTGCGCCACAGGGGACCTGGTTTCTTCTCACCTGTGCATTCTCCACTAAGTCCTGCTCTTCCTGCCTGGGGTGAGATTCCCACTGCCTGGGGACAGGCTTCTGCCAGCCCTGATGTTCTCACGGCAGGCATCCCTCATGCCACTTCATAGCCACTCCAGCCCAGTGCAAACCTACATCTCCTCCATTTTCAAACCACATTTAATGTCGCTTACTGTTTACGAGATTGCTCTGCAGTCCTGTAATGTCCATTGTCATACTTTTTTTTTTAAAGATTTATTTATTTATGCATACAAGAGCTGGGGTACAGGCCAGAAGTGCAGGGGGTGAGAGACTCACCAGAGACAGAGCGGGGAACAGAATAGGCAGATTGACCGAAGTACACTGCTGAGGGGAGCAGCGGGCAAGTCAGGAGAGGTCTGCTGCGCCATGTGGGCTGCTCCCTGGCTGGCCGGGACTCGAACTCGTGCTACAGAAGCTGCAGACAGCTTCATGGGTTGCATCCTAACCCTCGTGCTACCAGGGAGGCCCTCCATTGTCATACTTCGCCAACTATGAAATTTTTGCAAGCAAACTCTGTGGGTGAGAAAGATGGGGCTGTGCACCTACCTTCTTACCTCACACCAGGCAGACTCTGTTGTACATCTGTCCTCCTAGACTGAAAAACATTGTTCGCGTCTCAAGTAGACAGCATCCCAGGACTCAGTCTGTGTCTGCACTCTGCCTCTCGTGGACGGAAGTCCAGTTGTTGTCCAAGTTCTGATTCTATAGGAACCTCACAGGTGGTGTCTGTCTGTGTCGGTGTGCATGTCCGTGATTGTTGTTTACATGATGGGATTGTTAAACCATAAGATTATCTCATAAGTTAGATTATGAAAAGGGGGGTGACTGATGTGAAAGGGGTGTGTGTTTTCAAGACAGACCCAGAGAGAATGTCGGCGTCCAGCCTGATTTGGTGTTCGAGCTTCCTTTTGTGGCTGGTTCGTCCTGGAATCGCCACCCCAGGCCAGCCTGGCATGGTCCAGGGCTGCGGGGTCTCCCCTGCACAGCGCATCTGCAGGCACAGATGTGGGGGGTGCCTCAGGAGGCCCCTTTGTGCCACATGGCCCCTCATAGCCTTGGCTGACTTGCCTTAAAGAGCCGGCCCACGGTTTCTCTCTGTGGGCAGGAATTCATCTGTTCTTGGTAAAGGGCAAAGTGCGGCCTGTGAGTTTCATGAAATAAATATTCCCTGGGAAGTTATTCTTGGTGTGTATGTGGAAGACAGGCCCGGAGGCAGTTTAAACCCAGAGTCAGAGTCACTGTCTGGAATCTGGGTGGGTTTCAAGTATGGACTCAGAATGCTTCTATTTTCCATCCCGAATATGTGGGCCCATTTTTCTTCTAGAAGTTACTTAGCAGTCTGCCCAGGGGGGAGCTGACCTTCGTATATGCCACCTGGCGGGGTCACAGCTGAGGCTAAGGGGAGCCGCCCAGTTCTTGTGGGGAGCAACCAACCCTCCCCTTGTGCTCCTGCCCACGCAATTCTTTTGTGCAAGTTAATGAGCCAAAGGCAGAGAAAACCCTGCTAATTCAGTTGCCCAAACTGAAGGTCACCGGGTGTCCAGATGTCCCCAGGGTCTGCTCTTCCCAGAACTCCTGCTTGTAAAAAGTTCACTGACTTTTGCTTCTGCTTCTCTTTGATCTTCCTTTTCATCCTCTACCACCTTTCTGTGATCTCGCAGCTGGAGATGGAAGAAGGTGGGGATTTTTTATAAGATTTGGTGAATAGTAACATTTCCAGATATTTTTGATCCGGAAAATGATTGACCCCATCCCATGGTTATCAATAGGTTTTTGAAAACTCAAAACTAAAAGAAGTTTAAACTTCTTTTAAAGTTTAAAGGAAGTGGGGAATGCTATTTTGTGGTTATGGAGTTTCAGTTTTGCAAGATGAAAAAGTTCCAGAACTCTGTCACACAGCAATGCGAAGTACTGGCTGCTACTGAAATGTGCTCTCAAAGATGGTTAAGGCAGTGCATTTTGACAATGAGAAATTTTTAAAATTCAAAAATGTTTCTTATCTTTGTTACAATTTTAAAAACAAAGGGTGTTCTCTTCCCAAATTCAAATGGAGATTTTAGACTTAAGATCAGAAGTGGAAGAGGTTTCTTAAGAGAACTTTTTGGCTCATGAGAAACTCAGGTAAAGGCACCCACCAGCTGATGTCAGACTCATAATGGGGCTTGAGTTGGTGGTTTTCAGCTACTGTCCTTTTGCAAACGATACCACAATGCCCACGGCCTGGTTCTGGAAAGGGCCCGTGAGTGGTGGGCCCAGCTTGGGTCCTGGGGCCACCTCTGAGCCAGGGCCTGTGGCCAGAGGACACGTGTTTTGGTTTTTTTTAAAGATTTATTTATACATAGAAGAATTGGGGTACAGGCCAGAGCTGTGGGGGGTGAAATGATCCACCGGAGACAGAGTGGGAAACAGAACAGGCAGACTGACCGAAATACACTGCTAAGAGGAGCAGTGGGCGAGGCAGGAGAGGTCTGCCTCGCCATATGGGTTTCTCCCTGGCCGGCTGGGGATTGAACTCATGCTATAGTGGCTGTGGATTGCTTCACAGTGCGATGCTCAACTCCTTGCGCCACCAGGGAGGCCCAAGAGGACACGTGTTTTAATTGGTCAGACCTGGGTCGAGTGGCAAAACAGTTCTGTTGGAACCATCTGGAATAGATTTCCTGCAGGAGAAGGGGATTCATTTGTCCTGGGAAGAAAGTGACAGTGATGGGGGGCTAGTCTGCTGTGTCTGGAGACTCTGTGCCAGACACAGTGCTGGGCTCCTGCGAGGTTCTCTCCGACTGTCCACTCAGGGTAGGTTGGCAGGAAGAGCAGTGCTTGACCAGATCTGGGAGACTGAGCATCCTGAGCAGTGCTTCCTTGTGGCTTTGAGACAGTTCTGGAATTTGTACCCATATCCTTAGGCAAACTGATTAGTCTGAGGGAAGAAAGAATGTTACCAAACAAAGCTCTTTTGTACTTAGAGCTCTGAGGGTTTTTTCAGACCTTTTGAAAGAACCTTGAAGGCATAAATTGTGTTCTGAGACCAAGGGGGATTTAAGGGCCTTGGGGCTTGGGGGTGTTAAGGAGCTCTTAGAAGCCAGCTTGGAGGTATGTTACACATAAAAGAATGTGAAAACATGATTTACCTTTGCTTTGAAACCTCCAGGTCTGTAAGTCCAAAGGCAGGTGGCTTGCCCGAGGGTGGGGTCAGCTCCCACTCCCTAAGGGCAGGTGCTGGAGCAATCAGGGGGTTGGGGGGCCTTTGGCTAAGCCAGGGGTGCTTCTACTTTCTCTCCTGGACCAACACGCACTTCTTTTCCACACTGTCTTTCTATGGCAGTTACTTGTTTCAAATAGTATTTCTGGCAAACCTTTTGCAGCCATTGAAACTGGTTGTTTTCGGAGTTTGTCGATGCAATTTTCAGTTGACTGCACACTCAGTTCCTCTGGGGAAGGCGTCTTCAGGTGAGCCCTGACGAGGTCAGGTGGGCAGGCTGGACTGTGGCTTGTTCGGCTACTGCAGGTGTGTGTCAGCATGTTCGGAGCCCTGGTCCCTGTAGGACATTTCACGAGGAGCTTCTCAAACTCCCGCGCCCACGGAGCCAGCTGACATTTTACGAAACCGCAGGTTCTGATTCTGTAGGTGTCCGGCTGCATCTTTCAGCAGCCCAGCTGTAGGTCACCCTTGAGGAGACGAATGTTAGTGGCCCTCCGGCTGCTCTGTTTCCCCACACAACTCCAGAACCTGACAGAGTGGCCACAAGAGCCAGAATGACGGGGAGTGAATTCAAAACTTTGTTTCTGTCCCCAGACCCCAATAACTACTACCACCGGCGGAACGAAATGACCACCACGGACGACCTGGACTTCAAGCACCACAGCTACAAGGAGATGCGCCAGGTGAGGCCCAGCTCCGCCGTGGAGCAATGCGTGGGTGCTCCCATGGCTTGTTTTGTTTTTCAGAAGTTAGGGTGATATGTTGGGGTGCAGGGCTAAGTGACTGGGTTGGCTGTAGCCCCACCGCTTGCTTGTGGTTTCAAAGTGGAGAATGTCTCTGGTGCCTCAGGGGGCCAGACCGAGTCTCTCTCCCAGCAGGTGGTCAAGCAGAATTCGAACACAGGCTCTTCTGAGTCACGGTGTGCTTGCGAGCTGCGCTGGTTTAGGGAAGTCGGTGTGTGCAGCGCCGAAGAGCAGGGCCTGGGGAAACAGTGGAGTGACGAGAGTAGGGAGTCTTCATGTAGGACCTGCGCGAGGGTACCTGCATTATCAACTCACCTACGTGAGCCTGGCCTGTCCTCCTAGCCCCCTGGGGCGGGGGGCAGAGACCACTGTCATCCTTATCTGACTGATGGGGAAACTGAGTCACCAAGAGACTTGTTCCCATTCTCTGATTCTCGATCTTGGTTGCATATTAGGGTCACTAGGAGAAATCTGGAAAAATATCTGTACTCAAGCTCCTCCTCAGGAAAATTAAAAAAAGAATCTTGGAGAAGGGCCTGGGGTCCACATTTGTGAAAGCTTTCCTTGTGATTCTAACGTCCAGCCAGGCTCAGAACCACTGGCTGAGACCTTCCGAGCTGAGGACCGTGAGCACCTTAGTTAGAAGGAATGAGATTCCCTGAGACTCATCACAGAAGCCAAGTGGTTCTGAGCCTCTGACTGCATACGGGTGCAGAGGGACAGAGGCAAAGGCTGGTTAGGACAAGCTAAAGAGCAGGCCCTGTGCTGAGCAGTTGTCCAGCGTTGGCCGCACCCCCGATGGTGCTAGAAAGCACAGGAGGTGCTGCAAATGAGAAACCATTTGCTTTCTAAGAATCGGTTTGAAGAGGCAGAACAGAGAGCTGTCCTCACAAAGCAAGGCTTCGCCAAGGCCATGGTAACTGGCTCAGCACCGGACTCCTGGTGCTGGGGAGGGGCCGGCCACCAAGTGCCAGTGCAGGAGACTCTCTGGAAGCCTCAGCGATTAAGCTGAACAGAGGGGTCGTTGCCTGTCGCAGGAAGTCTGAAAACCCAGTTTATCTACATGTCACGGAGCTTGAGATCTGCACACGCAGCTTCCAGACACCTGTCAGCACAGACTTGGAGGTGGGATGTGCTAAAGAGATCGTCTTGCTGTCTTACTCTTCAGAAGCCGGGATAATGTGTTGGGACGCGTGGTGCGTGACTCATCCTGCTGCTCCGCATCGCCGGGTATTTATACGCCTGCCCTCTGCTCCCCTTCACGGAGCCATTGCAAGTCAGCCCAGCTCTGCTCCCTGGACGTCTCAGGACATCCCTGGGGGCTCAGAAACTACACAAGGATCAACTCAGTCAGTGCAATTAATGTCAAAAGCAATACATCTACATGCGTTTAAAAGGAACAATGACACAGACAGTCCAGATCTCTTTAAATAGCTCAACTTTGGGGTTTCTCCCCCCAGGGCGGATGGTGGAGTGTGTTTCCAACCCCTGGCGGCTCTGGTCATGTCCCTGGCTGGCTGCTAGAGGAATTTTAGAGCTCAGAGGAACCTTGGAGTGGTCCCCGCGTCCCCTGCAGGCGGCAGCTGGCTCCCTCCCAGGGGCTGCAGCAGGCCTGCAGGTCCGGGCAAGCCCCCTCCTCACCCCGGGGATGCCTCCCACATCAGCCCTCGCTCCTCCCTCCAGTGACCATATGTAGCGTCTGCTTCTCAGACAAATGAGGAAAGATGGTGGAAGAGGCTTTTCCTCTTCTCCCCCAACCCTCCACCCTTTAAAGTTTTTTTTAATTCGATGGACAAATAATATCACGTCAACATCATGTGCAAGCCAGAAGCCCAAGGGCTGACCCTCCCGGTGTCTCCGCCCCTCCTGGCCGTGTCGGGGTCCCTGTACTAGCAGAGCCCCCCGCGACTGTGGCCTAAACTCAGGCCTTGGCCCCGCTTTTCCAGCTCCTGTTGGATCGTGACCCATTCCACGCTGCCTCCATGATGGCAACTGTGACGCTGCAGAATGTTCCAGGGAGCGCATGCACCGGTGCTTTCCTGGCACTCTTCCCATGCGGCAGTTGCTGCTGTGCAAGGAGTCACACCGCGTGTCACTGGGCGTGTGTTTTTACCATCTCTGGACGTTTCCTTCTGATTGATTGCGGGGCACTGAGTTAGCAGGAAAGGGGGCGCTTTCTCCTGAGGCCCCAGCGTGGTGAGCGGAGGAGAGAAGCCTCGGAGCTGAGGACATGTTGAGAGTGGCTGGTGGTTTCTTCCCGTCTTGAGATGAAGCAGCGGCTCTGGCGAGAGTCTCATATTCCAGCTGTTTTCTGTGACTATGTTTCTCAAACCTTTTCCCCACTCTCGCCCCAAAAAGCCTGTAGAAGCACTTTCCTCCCTCACCTGCACCCGCCATGGTCAGTGCTGGGTGTGGGGTCTCGGCGGGCAGGGTGGGACTCTGGAGGCCGCTCTGCACTGGGATCCCCAAGATTTCTAGCTCTCCCCAGAGGCCAGTTTTCACCTTAAAGATGGCATCACTCTTTGGTGACTACATGCTCAGGCCATGAAGAAAATCCTAGACTTTCTCTTTACAAGACCCAGATACTCATCAGTAAGACCCAAACTTCAGAAACCATCTTAGGCCTTTGTGGGCCCAGCGGTGGCAGCCTCTCGCCTGAGTGTGCTGCGTGGAGACGGGGCACTTGCTCCTGGAAATGCTCACGGCTGCCTTCCTGGAGCGCCCCCAGGGAGGGAGAAACCGCCTTCTTGGCATCCCAGCAGGCCACGGTGCACGGCGGGTTGCAAAGAACCTTCATAAAGGAGAGTGTGGAAAAGCCTGGGTTCTCATTCTGATGTGTGGGAAAGACACAGTGAGGTGCAGGGGAGGGAAACGTGGCTGATGTGAAATACCGCGCCAGCCTCAAAAGACGTGGCCATGGCGACTGACTGCCAAGAGCCTTCCGACTGGGGGCCGCGTGCGTGGTGAAGTGTCAAGTCAAGGGGAGGTGGTTTGTGTCTTTGTCCAGTGTCAAGGTCATGATCTCCAGCACAGGTGTCAAGGTCCAGACCTTAGCACTGGTGTCAAGGTCATGATCTCCAGCTCAGGTGTCAAGGGCGGGGGAGGGGAACAGTGCCTCTTTCCTCAGTCTGACTGTGTAGATGCTTGTTAAATTATGAGGAAAAAAAAAGATACGCAGTAATACTTATTTAGGCAGGGATAGAGAGATAAAAGTTTGATGTGTCCCTTCAAGGATCTGCAATGTAGCACCCAAAGGTAGACTGGAAACCTCAGCACAAAGGTGACACTACAAGCACAAGCAGGAGGTGAGGCACCAGCCAAGGAAGGTGACACCAGGGTGCAGGGTGGTGGCGGTCACAGTCAAGGGAGGTGACCCCACAGTTGACGGAGGTGATGACTATAACCCAGGGAGGTGATGGCCGCACAGAGGGGTGCTGGGAGGACAGGGCAGAGGGCCCAGGAGAGTGTTCCAGGCAGAAGGGAGAGAGCCAGTGCCTGGGGAGACTGGGGTGCCAGGGGCCTTGGGGGAGGAGGGCATGACTGTCTTTTGGGGACCTTTGCCCCTCTGGGACATCCTTGCTAGGAGCCCCGAATCCATCTTGTTTTCCAGTTGATGAAGGTCGTGAATGAAATGTGCCCCAATGTCACCAGAATCTACAACATCGGCAAGAGCCACCAGGGCCTGAAGCTGTACGCGGTGGAGATCTCGGATCACCCCGGGGAACACGAAGTCGGTGAGGCCGTCTCTGTGCCTCTCAGACGGCAGGGGGTGGCCGCCCGGTGACAACACTCACAAACAGGGCAGGAGCTATCCACACCAATGCTCACATAGATGCAGAAAATTCTGGTTCTGTGAACCTTTGGTCTTGTGATATTTCAACTAGAAAATTATTTGAAGCTGGAAATACCCTCCTTTTGTCCAAATGCCCCATATTAAATTCTGCTCTCTGTCTCGGAGACCCAGATCACTAACAAAAGAAGAAGGGTCTTGGGCCGTTGGCAAAGAGTCTTTTTTAGGGAGAAAATTCTGAACTCCCTGGTCATTCATGGCTTGAGTTAGAGGCAATTCCTTATTAAAAAAAAAAAAAAAGTCAATATGGGGGCCTCCCTGGTGGCCTAGGAGTTGAGTCTCAGCACTATCACCACTGCAGCCTGAGTTCCATCCCCAGCCAGGGAGCTACCCACATGGCGCAGCAGACCTCTCCTGGCTCTGCGCTTCTCCCCTCAGCAGTGCATTTCAGTGGATCCACCTGTTCTGCCCCCAGTTCTGTCTCTGGTGAACGCTCTGACCCCCTGAACCTCTGGCCTGTACCCCATTTCTCCAGGCAAAAAAAAAAAGTCAATGCTCTTTTCAGAAGTTTCCTATTTTCAGCCATTTTGCTTTCAGACACCCAAGGACCTGTGTCGCTGGTCCAGTAGGTTCTATGGCTTCTCTGCCTTATCTGCTGGTGCAGTCGGTCACATCTCCTCCAAAGCAGCCACTTTGCCAGTGATGAAGGAGAAGGGGTCCTTAGCACAAGCACAACCCCCCATACAAACCCCAAGACTGAAAAAGCTGAGCTTGGAAGGAGAAACCCCTCAAAGCAGCCTCTTCCCGATGCTGCCTCCTCGGCCGACGCGTCCCGCTGGGCCCTTTTCTACTTGTATCGATTCATCTTTGTAAAATACAACAGGAGATTCTTTTAAGAAAAATAATTGCCTCCCCTAGAGAAAAGCAACTGCTATGGCTTGTGTTTAATTTGCAAATTTTAAACTCTAAACACCGTGTTAACTGTCCCTCTTCTGGCTGCTGAGAAGGAACATGATGACCTTGAGACTGGTTTCTCCTTTTTCTATGCATTTTCCTATTTCCTTATTTTGGAAGACAAACAGGCAGGTGGATTTGAAAGAACAGAGAGGGCTAAGGTGGTCAGTCGATGTGACTCAGAGAGTGTCTTCCCCACACCGTGAGATCGGGCCATTTTGCACAAAGCATCCACCCTGAGCCTGTTCTCCCCTCTCTGCCAGGGGAGCCGGAGTTCCACTACATCGCAGGCGCCCATGGCAACGAGGTGCTGGGCCGGGAGCTGCTGCTGCTGCTGGTGCAGTTTCTGTGCCAGGAGTACCTGACGGGAAACGCGCGCATCGTCCGCCTGGTGGAGGAGACCCGGATCCACATCCTCCCCTCGCTCAACCCCGACGGCTACGAGAAGGCCCATGAAGGGGTAAGGCCCGCTCTGCAGGCCGGGGCAAGGCTAGGACCCCGGGGGGGCTCTGCTGAGGCGAGCAGCCCACAGGTTTATGACGGACACAAGCAGGGTTGAGAATTTGGGAGCGCTGAGAGGTGGCCAGGCCAGCAGACGGAGACACGATACAGTGATAACACTACAACGGTGTGTGCACTGGTGACGTAGAATGGGAGATTCTTTCAAGAAAAACCATTGCCTCCCCTAGAGAAAAGCAACTGCTATGGCTTGTGTTTAATACAGCCATCAATACAGTGATAATAATAGAACAGAGTATATAATAATAATAATAATAAAACAGCCTCCGCCGGGAACTGAGCCCTTCAGCAAGGCGCGTGCTGGCCTTGATTTTGAGCTGTAATCTATCCTCCAAGGAGAGTCGCTTTGTTGTTTGGGATATTGTTTATATTTCATGCTCTAAGTGTGATACAGAATTTGAATAGGTTATGGTCATGGACAGCATGGGCCTATGCCAAAGGTTGTGTAGTTAGTATCGTGTTATAAAGTATAATGTAGTATAAAGTTGTAAGGAGCGTGTGGCATTGTGTATCCATAATTATCTATCACAGTCCTGGGAACAAAATGGAAAACTGTACTTAAAACGATAGTATCTATCAAATGCAAGCTCTACGATACACAGTTGTAGTTGTGTTTGCGGTGCCAACAGTTGGGTAGGGATTTGCAATGCTAACAAGTGAGCCAGAACCGTGGGCAGGGCAGAGAGAATGCGTTGACTTTATAATGACAGGCTTTCAGATTCATGAAGACTTAGTGGTTTAGCCAACCAGGGTGCAAGGGCTCAGAGGAGGCGAGAGGGTCCGGAAGGGACCCAGTTCTCTCTGAGCACTGCTCAGTTCTCTGGCCCCCTTCTTTGAAGTGATTTGTCTGCATTACCCGTCACCCAGCAGATACTGACAGTAGGCGTTTCAGTGTCTCTTTGGGATGCCACCTTTGGGTGAGAAAGTGTCTGGGCTCAGAGACACGCCCCAGGTGGAAATGGAGCTGGAGCTGGAGATGGGGTTGGGGCTAGGGGCAGGTGAGAGAGTCGGCATTATCCGGAAGCCGGGGCGCCTCATGCTCTGAGTTGTCTCCTAGGGCTCGGAGCTGGGAGGCTGGTCCCTGGGGCGCTGGACTCACGACGGGATCGACATCAACAACAACTTTCCAGACTTAAACACGCTGCTCTGGGAGGCGGAGGACCGACAGCGCACCCCAAGGAGAGTCCCCAACCACTACATCTCAATCCCGGAGTGGTTTCTGTCTGAAAACGCCACGGTGAGTGGAAATGCCCATAACCCAGAAAGCAGCGGCAGGTCAAAGTTGGCACCCGCTGGTATTTCCAGAGGATTTGACATTTAAGACCAAGACAAAACCATTTTTTCTTTCAGGTTTTCTCCAAAAGTAAGGATGTGTGCTAGATAATAACTACCTTTAAAATTGATATTTGAGGAGATGCTTCATAGAAGAGAAATCATTTAATTATATTTTTTCGCAATTACACAGTGCTTCTAAACAAAACAGACCTTCCTCTGAATTGTGTCTGTCCCTGTCATTACCACCCTCATCACTGGCAGTTACACTGCTGTGAAATTGTCCTTAGCCCTCACAGATTGCTTGAGATGTTATGTTTATTTTAAATCCCCATGGTTGTAGTGCATGTGATACTTCTTCAGAAAGAAAAATATGAGTGGATGAGAAATATTTCTCTCAAATTTCTAAGTCTTACTTCACAAAGAGTATGTAGTAAAAGAAATCATTTTTACAAAATTTTCCATATATTTCCCCCCTTCCTTGCCCATTAGTAATCTGCTGCTTTATCCCTCATCTGTGATCTTATGTGTCCTTGAAGACAGCTTGATTACCATGTAAGTTAGGCTTTGATTCAGCTGTAGTGAGAAAAAGCAAAATAGCAGTGGCTTAACAAAGTAAAATTTATTTTCGTTTTTGCACAAAAGGACCCTAGAGGCAGATGGCACAGGTCTGGCCTAATAGAAGCCCCGTTATCATCAGGAACCAAAAAATCATCTGTGTTTCTGTCTCTGCCATTTTGCATGCAACTTTGATCCTCAATGCCACAGTCCAAAATGGCAGCCGGTGCCCCAGCTGTCAAATCTGTGACGGAAGAGGAGAGAGGGGGTTAAAAAAAGTCCTCTCAGATAATTAAACTTCCTTTAAGAGCCATTCCTAGACTTCCTACATATACTCTGCTTAAATCTCATTGACTAGGATTTAGTCAAAATACGATGTCAACCCACTAGAGGAGGCCAACATGGCTGCCTCATTTATGATTCACAGGGTGTTTTCTTCAAGCTCTTAAGAAGCTACCAGTCAAGGGATGGAAACAGATGGTGACAATACCATGTGGCTGGGTTCGGATGCCCACGGTGGCTGGTGGGGGTCCAGGATTCAGGGCCTGTGGTTTTCTGAGTCCTTTTCCTATTTCCTGATTCCATCTTATGGAACACACCGTTTTTCCCACACTAACATCCTAATGACATCTGGCAAAGTCCAGATTCAAATGATGTTATCATCTGGGAATCCTTGTACCAAATTTTGGGAAATGGTGTCTGGCTTTCGTAGCCTTGAAATTGTAAAAGCTAAGAAATTACTGCAATACAATGATTGAAGTCCTTGGCTTTTAGTCTTTGCGTTAGGACTGAAATTTAATTTCCTGGGTGTGTTGTTCTTTAGAAGTACAGGAAGGTATCTTGTGTTTACTTTAAGTCCCACGGTGATTCTTCGGAAAGGAAAAAAAAATTTCCCCCCAATTTCTAGGTCTCATTTCACAAAGAGCAGGTAGTAGAAGAAATTTCACAAAATTTCCTTATTATCACCAATACTTTTCTCAGTTCTGGATGGGGTAGATAGGTAAACAGTCATCAAAGACAAAGGTTTGACTAACAATCAAAAGGCTTGACACAGATTTCTACAAAAATCTACAACCAACTGTAAGATAACATATATTCTTCTCAATAATTCCTGGAGCATTTATTAATGCTATATGGGGTTGTGGAGGAAATCTCAACAAACTTCAGAAATTAGGAATCAGGCAGACTGTGGTCTGTGGTCTCGAAAAACACAGAAATAAGATAAATGAAACATCACCTTGTATTTAGAAAACTAGATAAACTTTCAGATAAAGGGTCAAAGAAAAAAATCACACTGACAACTAAAACAAGTTAAAATGGAATGATAATGAAAACAATGCATATCAAAGTTGTGGAGTACTGCATAAATAAAAAATAGTGCTTTCAATAAATTTATACTTTAGGTGAGTATATTGCCGAAGAAGCAAGCCTGAAAATTAACTAACTTAATAAGAAGCTAGACCAAGAGTAACAGAAGAAATCCCCCAAAATGTGGAAAGATGGAAATTAGAAAGTATGAACAGAAATAAATAAAATGATAGAAAACAAAGGGAAAATATGAAGTGATTAATCTATAGAAAGAGGCATTTGATCAAAGCTCCAAACACAATAAAATCTGTTAGTGATACATACGATAAATGAGTACTTTGAGGGCATTAATCATAAAATAAAAGATGAATATTTTCTACATTAAAATAAGAAACCCTTTTCATCAAGAGATTTTTTTAAACTATAATGAGAAAAGCTAAAAACTGAGAGAAGTTTATTTGTCAATTATCTAATTGAAAAGGAGAATTTTGAAAATATGTAAAGAATAGCAAGAAAAATACAAACAACTCAATAGAAATGGGTAAAAGGTATGAAGAGGCAATTCGTGGAGGAAGAAACCCGTGGCGAATGAACATCAGAAGATGGCCGGCCGCACCGGCACCCGGGCATGGCGGGTAGAGAACAGTGCATACCTGTGGATGGCACAATCCGGAAGGGTGACATCCCCGAGTGTCGAAGGGGACAACAGACAGGGGGGTGCCTTTACAGGGGGTGAGGGTGTGAACGAGCTCGGTGACTCTGGATATAATGTGACTGGCTTGTCAAGTGGAATATTTTCTTATTCTATGACTGCAGTTCCGCTTCTGGTGATCTAAGCAACATAAACTTCAGCCCACGTGTGCCAGAAGACAGCGCAAGCGAGTTAAGGAACACTGTTCATTATAGGGAAAAAAAAAAGCAATTATCTCTCTGCCCATCATCACAGATTGAGATTAATTAAATGCTGAGAGCTTCAGAGACTGAACTATAGCTTTATGCAACAACCTGGGCGAATCTTCAGAACATAAAACGGAAAACAAAAAACAAAAACACATAGCAGAAGACAGCAGTCAGTACAGTTGCCTGCCTTCTTTTTTAAGATCAAAAAACAAGTAAAACCAAATAGTCGCTGTTTTGTCCACGCAAAGGGTCAGAGGGGAAGGAGAACCTGTTGCTGAGGACCTAATGGGAGGGGCATGGGGTGGGGGGGGTCACAGATGTGTGCAGAGGTTGTCGCTGAGACCCGGTGCTTGGGTTGAGGGGCTCACCGGTGTTTATTAGATCCACGTCTAGAAAAGAAGAGGGTGGAAAAGGGACTGGTCAGGATGAGGTGTTAATGAACGCAGCTCTGTGCGGAGTCCAATTCAGGGTCCCTGGGATATTTATGAAGAAAAACAAAATTTCATGAATGAAACCATTTTCAGTGTTGATTCCCCCCAACCCCATCATCAGTTTCTCCTGGAGCTTCCTCGGGATTAGTCATTTCTGATAAATATTTCATTCATTGATCAGTATCTGACCCTATCAGACCTTCCATTTTACCTTCTACCATGGCCAGGTTCTTTCTTTTCTTAGCTTTTTTATCATTAAAAATGTCCAACATCCCAAATTACAGAGAAAATTATGAAGGGCCCCAGGGGCCCATTTCAGCTTCAAGACATCAATTCATGTTCCGCCTGCCCCTGCTTCCACCTTCTCCTCCTCCCCTAGATTTTGGAAACAGACCTCAGGTACCGATCATTTCCCCGGCAAATATTTCAATAGGTAGCTCTGAAAGATTGGACTCTTTTATAACTGAAAATATCACCATTATCCTAGCAACATCATTTCGTAATTTTGAAAACTCCGGTTTCCTGTGCCCCGTTGTCAATCTCAATATTTCTGTCTGTTGGTTTATTTATTTATTTTTAAAGATTTATTTTATTTTATGCACACAAGAGCTGGGGCACAGGTCAGAGGTGTGGGGGGTGAGAGGATTCACCAGAGACAGAGTGGGGAACCGAACAGGCAGACTGACGAAATCCACTGCTGAGGGGAGCAGCGGGGAGTCAGGTGAGGTCTGCTGCACCATGTGGGTTTCTCCCTGGCCAGGGATGGAACTTGTGCTGCAGTGGCTGCGGACAGCTTCATGGGTTGCATCTTAACCCCTTGTGCCACTAGGGAGGCCCTCTGTTGGTTTAGATCAGTTATTTTGATTAGTTCATGTCTTTTAAGTATCCTTTAGACAATAGGTTTCTTCTCGGCCATCTTCTCTCTGTTTTCCTTGCTGTTTGGCTGTTGTTTATCTTGTAACAACCAGGTTATAAACAACCAGGTTACCTTACAGCGTCGTCCCCTGTCCGGGGGCTGCTAGTCCTGTGATGTCCCGTGAGGTATTTTCTCTGTGCTTCCTGCAAATCGCCAGTGAGACTCAGGCTGGACAGACTAGTCAGCAGGCGTAGCCGGTGACCATGTCCTGCCGTGATCTTGCTTTAGTAAATGGTGTTTTATTGGCCACGTCCAATAAAACGTGCACCTTGTCTGTGGTGCCGCGCAGCTACAGCTGAGCCCTGGTGACAGAGGCCCTCAGGTCCTCCAAGCCTGAAAAATGACGGCCTGCTTCTTTACGGACAAGGTGGCCAGTCCTTCCCAAGGGGCTCATAAGGTCCAGGGTGGCTCTGTTTGCAGTGTGAGCTCTCCCACGGAGACACATTCTGTTGGGTTATGTCCCTTCATGCTCTTGGGAGCTGCCGGTGGGCGAGCTGACCCCTTAGTCCCTGGGAGCTGCAAAATGCTGGCGCTGATTCTGTCACTCCCTCGGGGAGCCCTAACTGGAATATTCCAGCAAAGTCCTGGTCTTCCAGGACAGCCTTTGAAAGTCTAAATCCTGCTAAGATTGTTCCATCACATCACGGCTGCTTCAACGACCTCCCTGTCTGGGGAGCAGGGAGGAAAAAGCGTTTCCCTGTCAGTCCCGTCCCCCCGTCCCCCAAGCACGTCTGTTCTGACGGTCACAGGTGGCGGCGGAGACCCGGGCCGTCATCGCCTGGATGGAGAAGATCCCCTTCGTGCTGGGCGGCAACCTGCAGGGGGGCGAGCTGGTGGTGGCCTACCCCTACGACATGGTGCGCTCGGCCTGGAAGACGCAGGAGCCCAGCCCCACGCCCGACGACCACGTGTTCCGCTGGCTCGCCTACTCCTACGCCTCCACGCACCGCCTCCTGACCGACGCCCGGAGGCGGGTGTGCCACACAGAGGACTTCCAGAAGGAGGACGGGACGGTCAACGGGGCTTCCTGGCACACGGTGGCTGGAAGTAAGTCTCCGGTGGCCCTGCGGTCATCCCGGGCCCGGGGCGCATGGGCTGGTGGGCTGGGGACCCGGGGGCCGTGCAGCATCACCCCTTTTCCCTCCTATCAGCACTGTTGATAAGGAGCCACTTGGGGCAGTGGTGACCAGCTAGCCCTTGGCCAAGCACTCTACACAGACGCCCCTTTATCTCACAGCCGTCTTCGAAGGGGTCTGGCTCACCCCCCATTTTCACGAGATGGCTGGGACTTGTCGTCTAGGAGGCATCTGCCTGAGCGCTAGCGGGGCGGAGCTGGGGTCTGACACCTTCCCGCCCCCGGCCTGCACTTGGCCACTGAGGTTTGGGAATTTGTAGGGTCAGTGGGGTAACCGTAGACATAGGGGAGATGCTGGACCAGGGGCTGGGAGTGTGCTGGGGTGACCCTGGAGCTGGGGCCACGGCTCTTCACCCAGAGCTGTTCCCACTGGGGCTCGTGCCATATGGTTACCCCTAGAGGGGCTGGCGTTGAACCCACGATGGTGTGAGCTGACTCCAAGCTGCCTCTGTGCACTGGAGGTCACACCAGGCCACACTCGACTGTCACAGAGGCTGTGTTGCTCCCGGGTCCATGGGGACCAGCAAGCCTCCGGGACAGGCGTGGGGCTCCTTCACAGCAGCCAGAGGGGCCTCTGGTCCAAATGTCAGGATGAGCACTTTGTTTCTTCTGTCAGGGTGTACCTGGCCCAGGCCTCCCACATGAGGAGGGAGAAGCCTGTCCCAGTCCCCAAGGTCCCCTCTGTACTGGGATGCAAGACCCCAGGCATCACGCCAATTGCTCCTTTTCTTCCTCTTGGGGGAGCTGATCAAACCACTGGTGGATCTGAAGCAGATCCCATCCCGTGTCAAACAGACCCGGGTTCAAGTTCAGCCCATCATGTAGAGGCTGTGCCACCCCGGGCAAGTTACTTGACTCCTCTGAGCCCCATTATTTCCATTTGGAAGACGGTGATGACAGGGATCCCTCAGGGACTGCAGTGGCTGACAGGTGTGTGCTCTGTCTGCCTGCTGGGAGCAGATGTAAGATCAGTGCCCTCCCCCAACCACTGAAGCCTTTTGTGCTTTTATCACCCAACTAATTAACCTCACCAGAAAGGCAGCTTTCAGATACTTTGCAGGTATATTCCCACCCCGGGGCTAAACACAATCAAAAAGACGCTGACACATTGTTCTGTGATCATTTTAAAACGTGCTCAGGAAGATTTCCACTTTTTTCTTGGTTCCACGCCAAGCAGAGGCTCTTCTTTGTCTCCGTCCTTCTCTCCCTTCGTACAAAATAAAATGCAGATCCCTCTACTCTCTATGGAGAAAATTCCCTAATGGCTACAAAGCTTCCTTGCTTTTCAATTTTAACCCTAAAAATGTACAATTTTTATGTGAAAGAATTTTTGTTTTATGGCTGCTGTGGCTGAATTGGAGGTGCCACAGCGGGAGTCACCTGGTCAGCTGCCCCGCTTCCGTAAGTCGGCTGCTGCACCCCGTGTGGTGGTGTTTCTTTTTTTTTTTTTTTAATCTAGCAACTATTTTCTATGTGGTGCTTGAGCCTTTTAAATCATTCTTCCTCCTGGCGTGTGATCAAGTCTGCAGATTCATTTCTTTGTAGATTAATGAGATGCAAATTCTAATTTCCTTCCCTCCCCCTCCACCTCCTCTCCATCTTTTTGTGCGATTCTTGCTCACTTGTTTGAAGTGCACTGAAGGTGTTAGTAATGGGGGCGCAGATGAGAGCAGGGGGCAGTCAGAATGCACATCGTTAGCACCGTGTGCGTTTGCACTCCAGGGTGCTGTTAGCCCCCCTTTGTTCTGGGCTGCCCTCCTGCATCCTCTCCCCCTTAACCTTTTTTTTTTTTTTTAAAGATTTATTTATTTATACAAGCACTGGGTACAGTCAGAAGCGCGGGAGGGTGAGAGAACTCACCAGAGCCAGAGTGGGGAGCAGAGCAGGCAGAAGGACCGAAGTACACTGCTGAGGGGAGCAGCGGGCGGCAGGAGAGGTCTGCGCGCCATCCCCCTTAACCTTAACGAAGGCAGATCTGGGGGAGGCACCAGCACACGGAGCTGGTGTCCATCCCCAGGCTGTGAAAGAGCAGGATTCCAGACCAAGACTGAACACAAAGGACGTCTCCTGTCTCCTGCTGCAGCCAGGACTGATCTGGGTGAGGCCTCCTTGACTTCAGGATCCGCTCCTGAACCAAGTGTCTCAGCCTCACCACGTTCAATGAAGTGCTGAAGTCACCCCAAAAAACATGGCCCAAGATTCTCCACCTGTCTGATTTCTCATCATTTTGTTAATTCTTCTAGTACTTGTAGTGCTTTGAAGACACAGTGCAAAATCGTGGGCTCAAAGGAATTCTCCCGAAGCACGTTCTCAAACCTTCTTGCCATCTCCCCGGCCACTCTGAACCTTATTCAGTTAACATCTTGTCTGGCTTGGCAGGTCTCAACGACTTCAGTTACCTGCACACGAACTGCTTCGAGCTGTCCATCTACGTGGGCTGTGATAAATACCCACACGAAAGCGAGCTGCCCGAGGAGTGGGAGAATAATCGGGAATCCTTAATTGTGTTCTTGGAGCAGGTGGGTGTGAGACGGTGATGGGGGTGCAAGAGAAGAGGGGCATCTGGATGACAAAGCGTGAGAGCAGAGCAGTAGACACCCAAACAGCTCTGGAATGACCCGTTGTCTCTTTTCACTTGCTTAGACCCCAGAAGTGAGTTGTAGCTCAATGGGGCTTGTTCCCACATTTTCATGGAGCGTGAGGCTACTTTGGGGGTTCTCAGATGTTGTTCTGTGGGTGCGTGATGTAGGTCTTGTTTTGGTCGGCTCGGGCCACATACCAAAATGCACAGGTGGGGTGCAGCAGCAGAAGTCACAGTTCTGGAGCTAGAAGTTCAGGCTTGGGAGGGAAGCAGTGGGTTTCGATCCAAGGCCGCTCTCTGTGGCTCTATGGCCCCTCTCTCAGCGCCCCACCCCGTCCTTCCTCTGTGCACATCCGCCCAGTGTCTGTGTGTCCAGATTTCCTCTTCTAAGGACACCAGTCAGGTAGACTAGGGTCTGCACTGATGCACTTGTCTTAGCTGCACCGCCCCTTTGGAAAGCTCATCCTCAGATGCAGGTGCATTGCAAGCTTATGGGTAAGGACTTCACTGTGGATGTGGTGCAGGTACAATTCAGTGTGGAACACCCCGCAGGCTGGGGGCACCCTTAGGCTGTGCATGCAGTGGGTGGGCGGTCCTGGGGGACGGTTCTGACCCGCGCCAGCGAGGTTCTGCTCACAATTGTTGAGGAAGCCCCATTGCATCTGCTGGATCCACGAGAACCTTGCTCCCGTTCCTCTCCTCCTGCTGGCGAGGACACCCCTATTTAGTAAACTGATGCTAGGCCAGTGCTAGACCTGACAGAACAGCATCCCTGCCCCATGAAGAACAGACTAACTGAAAAGCCAATGAATGAGCAAGAGCAAACAGTGACATTCCATGTGGTGACTCTGCTGGGATTCCCACCCAGTAGGAGTGAGAGCTGAGGCCATCGAGGTGCCTCTTCTTCCGAGGGTTGTAGGTAAGTCAGAAGAAGCATCAGCCAGTGGTTTGGGCTGCTGGCTTTGCAGCACCTGCCTCTCCCCACAGGTGACACAGGTGATCAGGCAACACAAGTGGCAAAGGCTGGCACCCGGATCTAGCATCTGAGTCAGCCCTGGGAGGGTCCCTGGGTGCACTCCCCTGGCACAGGAGGGTGTGAACCTGTTTGCCATGAGCTCACTCTGTCCCCACTCTGGAATTGTCTTTTTTTTTTTTTAAAGATTTATTTATTTATGCAAACAAGTGCTGGGGCACAGGCCAGATATGCGGGGGATGAGAGGATTCACCAGAGACAGAGTGGGGAACAGAATAGACAGACTGACTGAAAACACTGCTGAGGGGAGCAGCGGGCGAGACAGGAGAGGTCTGCTGTGCCATGTGAGTTGCTCCCTGGCCGGCCGGGGATCGAACTCATGCTGCAGAGGCTGGGGACTGCTTCATAATGCGGTGCTTAACCCCTTGTGCCACCAGGGAGGGCCCCGCTCTGGAATTTTCTGAGGGATGGCTCTGTCATTTCATAAATGAGAAGAGTAAGGTCCTTGTCATTCAAAAGTGATGACCCCAATTTAGCCGAAGAGCCTCCTCCAGATAAGATGCCCAGGCCTAGTGATACCTACAGTGAAGGTCCCTAGAGATGAAACCTTGTCACCTTGGGTTGTCGCATCATTCTGCAGATGGGGAAACTGAGGCTTTCTTGTCCTATCACACAGGTAACAGTGGAAGGACCTGGTGAGCTGTAGTTTATAGGCGTGTCTTCAACTCTTTCCTTTCCTCTCCCTAAGTCATCAAATCTCTCTAGTCCAGGAAGTGAAAACAAAAGTGCCTCATGAAGACTTAAATTCCACTTTTACTGGATGTGTTTTTTATGAACCATCTCAGGTCCTAATATCTTTTAAAATCTATGGACTATTTTACCTTCAATGGAAAACTTTTGGTACATGGACCCGGAAGGAACGCAGATGCATACACCCGAGCCCACATGGAGCCGGCCAGCTGTTGAGGGCGGGGAGGGCTCGGGGGTCCGCAGCCTCACTGTGTGGTCGGGCCCAGCCCCTTGGTGATTTGACCCTTTTTCTCATCCTTTCTGCCCGGCAGGTCCACCGTGGCATCAAAGGCCTGGTGAGGGATTTACATGGGAAAGGGATCCCGAACGCCGTGATCTCCGTGGAAGGCATCAACCACGACGTCCGAACAGGTAGCTGCAAATGTGCATAAACTGCCTCTCGCTGAAAACATTCAATTTTCTCAAAATACTTGGGTTAAAAATCACGATGTGAACATCAACTTACTCAAAGCTGACTAGCGTCTCCTCCCTCCAACTTTCCATGTGGACCCTGAAAATCAAGTCTTGCTGCCTGTGCTTTCCGGCTTCTCTCTGTGCCTCATTCGGGCAAAAAACAGAGTCTGACCAAGGTTGAAGGGCGTGAGCGTGGGTTCCGGTGTCTCTCCCCGCGCTCCGGGTTGCTCCCCCACCTGCATCCAGGCGGCCTGTTCTATCGGGTTCTGTGGTTTTGTTTTTTTAATTTTGAGACTGTCTGTTCTTTGCTGATCAAAAGTGATGTGCCAGCCAGTCCAAGCCTCCCGCCGTGCCCGGTCCTGTCCCTCGGTGTGTTGGGTGGACATGAAGACACGGTGCCCTTGACTTTGGTGGGTGGTGTTTGCAGCCTGATGCCAAGGCAGGTGTGGTGGGAGCGGGCCAGCTGCGCGTTTAAGTCTGATCGTCTGCAAGACTCCGGTGCGTCCAGAGGGGTGTTGCGAGCACACCTGAGGGTTTTCACACTGGGGAGCGCGACGCTGCACCCTGGCGCCGCGGAACCCTTCTCTTGGCGTCAGCTGCGCAGACGGGCGGGCGGGCTGCGGGCCCTGTGTTTGTTTCAGCGCCACGACGAATCACCGTAGACTGGTGGCTCAAAAATCAAATTCATCCTCCCAGTTATGAAGGCTGGAACCCGAGACCTCACAGCCAGCAGAGCCTGTGCCCCTGGAGCCTGCTCCTTCTCTGACTCTTCCGGTCCCAGGTGGCCGCGACACCCTGGGCTGTGGGGTGAGAGCCCTCTAGTCTCTGCCTCTGCCTTTGTTTCCTCCTCTTTTGTCTCTCACAAAGACGCTTGTCTGTGGATTTTGACTCTCCCAGGAAATCCAGGGTGATTGTGTATCAAGATCCTGAATTATATCTGCAAAGAATTTTTTTCCAAATAAGGTCATAATCTGTGGGTTCTGGTAGATGGGGACCCTTTGGGAGGCCCTTACTCAGCCTTTCCCAGACCCCACCCAGGCACACGGAACAGACTTATTGCAAGAAAAAGGAAGCCATGTTGCCCGCAGGAAGAGCTATTCAGCCCTCAGACTACAGAGAAACCAGAGTTGGTGCTGACTCAGCAGACGTTCAAGGGCCGCCTGTGTGTGCCTGGAGGCCCTTGCTCTGCGCTGGGGACAGAACTTCTCGTTGCTAGAACCGATGTGTGACTTTCAGATTCAAAACCAGGACCGTTCCAGGCAAGCTGGGTCGTGTTCACCTGCCTCCTGTGCTCCCAGTTCCTCCCTGCACATGGATTGACAGCCTGGATCATGACAGGGGTGCAGATGAGAAGCAGGCTCACTCCTGCTGCTTCTCCCTCGCCCCACAGCCAGGCTCTCTGTCAGCAAACAGGCAGAATCTACCCCACTGCCTCCTCCTGACTCTCTCCTGGCCTGGCCTGCCAGTGCCTTCTCCCCCCGGGTGCCTTCTAGCTCCCCAGAGGAGAAGCTGGTATTTACAGTGCTTGTTTGTTTCCGCCCGCCCCACCCCTATCCCAGCCCCTGGTGCCAGGCCCCTGGGCTGTTCTATCCTCCAGATGATACAAGCACATTGCCTGGCCCTCAGGAGGTGCTCGGTAAATATTTGCCCAATAGATGAATGAGTTTGATGAATGAATGAACACTGCATGCGTTTCCCAGCCTGCAGAGAGAGTGAGTGGCTGAGCTGGGATTTCAGCCACCGGCTGAGACTTTAAATGCCTCCCTTCTCTCCCGGAGCGGGGAGGGGGGTCTTCTCTGCAAACTGAATCTGCCCAAGTCATTCCATATCACCCGTGAGGAAACAGAGACTCCGGGACATGCAGATGGGGAGTGGCTGAGGCTCAGACCTGGTCTGCCTGTGAGCTTGGTCTACCTGTTGTCAGGTACAGAGGCCATTTATTGTTCAAATGGGGGCCGCGCATCTGAAGTGCTGTGTGATGCTGTGAAGCACATTCTCTCTGTTTCTTCATTCAACAGCATCTTCTGAGCATCCCTGCCCTCTTTGCCCCGAGGACCTCAAACACCTGTCCTTGAGGATCGCAGCCGTCAACCCCAAGATCTCACGGCGTGTAGCACACTGTATGGCATGTGGTACCTAGTGGCCTCTCACAGGAACCCACTGATTCATTTGTTCATTTATTAATTAAACAAATGTGGGCCTTTGCACGGGTGGTCTGGATACCTGTGGGGAGCTGGCGGCCACTATGAAGGAAAAGGCCGTTTGATCTGAGTCTGCACAGGGCTGGTTTTTTAAGCACTGCTAATGAGTTCCTGTGGAAGAGTCTGGAACATTCGTTGGACTACTAGTGCCTAGTATGCAGTGTGAGAAAACAGGAGGGTTTTAAATGGAGTGGGAGGTAAAAAGGCCCCCGGGGCCCCACAAACCAGCAGCGAGTACTTTGCCTAATGAGCTCTGAATTTCAAGCGCTGTCATCAAGGAGACAGTTTTGATGAGCTAATGGGAAGTGGCTCTCTCGCCACCTTTCCATCCCCTATAAATAATTTCCTGGTGCGACTGGTGATGGATGGATTCTGAACTCCATGCGGGGCTCCGGAGCGCACTGGCTTCGGCGTCTCTCAGGGCTCCACATAAGCCCTGAATCTGTCTTGTTTTCTGTCTGAGGCTTCTGTGATCTGACAAGATTGATTTCAGGAGGGATTTTGTGCAAAATCAACGGGGTTATTAAACAGAATGACACAGGAGGAAGCTGGTAAGAATGCTTTCTCAGTGCATGTGAATAGGTGTGAACACCTGCTCCACAAGGCCACGGGACCGGCCATGATTGGTGGACACTCTCCTAGACCTGCTAACAGATGGACACTGGCTGTCCCTTCTGTCTACAGAAGCCGAGTGATGCCAGTCATGCTGTCCTCCCCTGGACATCTCAGCTCTGATGCCACGCCTGGCAGCTCAGGGGACATCAGCCCAACATGCTGTCTCCTGAGCTTCAGGAAGTGGGGCATTCTGAAATTTCTAGAGGGTCAGAGGTGAAGCAGAGATAATCAGAGCCTTGGGGACAGATGTGGGGAAAGCCCAGCAGTGAACTTCTGGGGAGAAGGTACCCTGCTGGCAGGCAGCTTCTGACGCCCCTGGTTCTGATCTGCGAACCTCAACAGAGCTCCAGTCGTTCTACACATTTATTTCTCTGTCTTGCTGAGCTCCTCCTGTGTGGCGGACTGCAGATACTGGGCACACGATGCCCCTGAAAAGCCTACATTCTAGTAGAGAAGGCTCCAGGGAATTATAAAGGGAAGTGAACAACTTCATTGCAGGAAGTGATGAGAGGCAAGAAAGACAGAAATTGGATAACATAGAAATGGGTGGGAAAGTCAAGAAGCTCCCCTCCTTGGGGAGAGATGAGTACAAGCTGGCCTTTACTAAAGAAGGGAACAGCCTTCCATCAGAGGGAACAGTCATTACAAAGGCTCAGAGTCAAGAATTAAGGAAACAAAGGAAGTCCTGTGTGGCTGGAGAATACCGGGCCAGCAGGGAGTGGCCTGAGTTTGAGTTTGTCCCAAGTGCTCAGTGCCTGTCAGAAAGGGGTGCGTCTCCGGCCGGCAGGATGCCACCTCCACCTGCCCGTCTGTGTTTCCTCAAAGTGAGTAAATTGCATCTGCATTTTCTTGGAGGACATATCCAGCAGGGGCTTAGGAATAGAATCAATTACTTTAAATTATGAAGAGTAGATTTCGTTATATATAAAAACAACCACCACTAGACATTTGCACAGAACCTTAGTTCTCAGTTTTCAGAGGAGGAGAGAGTTGACCCAGCACACAAGCTGAGGAACTAACCCACTTAGGCGTTGGTGAGGAGAAAGCGCCAGCCATGGAGACTGCACCTGATCAACTCCTCGTGTTTATAAGACATTCAGTTTCCTCTTTGGGCCTGTCTCTCCATCCCACTCAGCGGAATTGGCTTTCCTTGAGATCATGCTTTATGAAACTCTGTGAAGTGCTGAGGAGTGAGATCAGGCCCTTAGATCCTAATACCAGCCGAGACAGGAGAGGCAGGAGGAGAAGGCAGCCCTCCCTCAGGGCACGTGGGCTGGTTGAAGGAAGTGGCCCTTCAGATTCGTTGGGGGATTTGTGGGAGACCAGCCAGACATCTCAAAAGATGAACTGTGCCGTGAGACCGATGCCTTCTGAGGGCGAGACGCTTGTGCTTGATGTGGAGCTTGAATTCTGAAGCCTTGAGATGACATTTCATTTCCTTGAAACCCTTGCATCTTCACGAATGGCAGACACGCTCCGACATGGCGCTGAGACAGCAGGGGCCACCTGGCTGAGCTGAGTGTCCCTGGCGCGCTCACCTGGAGCCCTGGTTACCTGCACGGCTGTGTGGCAAGCCATGCCCATAGAGCTCATTCTGACATCTTGAGCCCTCGGGACTCGTGACCACTGTGTTGTGTGGGGCGTCTCAGATGATTAATGAGTGGGATGGGAACTTGATGCCTCCTAGTGCTCTCTCTGCCTATGGGGAGGTCCCTAGTCACACACACAGTTTCCCTTTCCTCCATCCCTGAGAAGACCTGGGACTTGTTTATGTCACCGAGCAGTGAGCTCACTGCCCGACACACGTGTGGCCCCATCCCGAGATGCCAGGTTTCTGAGAAAAGAAGGAAGCTTTATTGTGAGTCAGCTGGCAAGGAGAGCAGAGGTGAGCTCCAGTCCCCTCTCCAGTTAGGAAAGGGAAGGAGGTGATACAGATTTTGGGGGCTGGGATTGAGAATTAAGGAGTTAAGTTCATGGGCAAAGGAGCAGGTTGGGGCAAAGAAATACGAACCTGGCGGAAGCTCACTGGCCAGGAACGGGCAGTTCACACAGGGAGACGTACTCTGAGGAGACTTTTTTCAGAGAACTGGAGTTTGGGTTTCTGTGGGTGGCTGCTCACCTCCGGGTGGCCCATCCTCTGCCTTCGCACCTCCTGACCCCAGCCGGCCTGGGACTCAGCTCAAGCTTCCGTGGATGCTCAGGTTGCCATTGGCTGACAGGCCTCCATGCTGTGCTGGCTGCAAAACAAGTCTTAGAGTAAAGTTTAGAGAAGTTTTCGTGTGTGTGTGCTTTAGGGTCTGAGAGGAATCTAGGTGTTTAACCTCATTTAGACAAGTCAGCCTGCAGCCCCCTAGCACTTCAGCAAATCCTGCCTTGGCTTTCCTTTACCTGGCATCGACGCTTTCCACAGGGCAGGGCTGGTGCTGAGGGAGAACCCCAGTGGGCGCAGGCTGGTGGCCGGCAGCGCTGCTCCTGCAGTGCCTGGACATCAAATTGTCCTTGTCAAAAAGGAAATACCCTCACCACCTACACCAGAGGCTGGCTCGGAGCATCCAGGGGTTCAGCCTCATCCTTCCAGTCCATGTTCTCAGGGAGGTGCTGGCCCCTCCTTTTCTATCTTGCAACCTCTTCAACGTCCGGGGTCTAAGTGTTTCCACCAGGTTGCAGGCTCTGGGGAGGGGTGTCTTGAGCCAACAGCCCCTCTCTTTGTGACAAGGACGTAGCCTAGAGCTAAGGATGGGCTTGGGTCCCATGCGGGTGATAGGTCAGTGGTGTAACGGGTGGTGAGGACCCAGTCTTGCAGCACCCCCATATGTCACCCCCGCAGCTCCAAGTTTCTCCTGGCCCTGGCCCCTGCCAGCATGAGGGCTGTGGAATGAAGTGTAGGCCCCAGGGCCTCGCCCAGGTCCCTTGGCCCATGGCCTGTGTGGCCCTCCCCTTCTCTCTTCAGAAGTGCAGACCCCCGGCCCTTTTAACAGTGACTCTTCTAGATTGGCAGCCGCGCGTAGGGAAGCTAGCAGCCAACCACCGGTGGCTTTTCAAGATGCATTCTGTGGTGAGGCCCACCACTTGCAAGTTCAAGTTCGTGATGAATGGCTCCTATTGTCACAGCGAGGGGGTGTTAGTGATCTGTCTCCATCTCGGCTCCTGTTTATTAACCCGGCAGGGAGCTCTACCCCAGCCCCCTTCCTGCTCAAACCATCGTGGGCTGCTTCCAAAGAAGAAAACATCTCAGCTTCCAAAACGCATTAAGACCCTGCCTCCGCGGGGTCTCCGGTTCCACCCTGCCTGCCTCCGATCCCCTCTCTGGGCAGGAGGCTGGTCTTGGAATAACAGGCCTGCTGGTACCCGACTTAGAAAAGGCCCGCTCTGAACTCCCCCGCTTTCTGTTCCCAGCCAGCGACGGGGACTACTGGCGCCTGCTCAACCCCGGCGAGTACGTGGTCACGGCCCAGGCCGAGGGTTTCACTTCATCCACCAAGAACTGCATGGTCGGCTATGACATGGGGGCCACGCGCTGCGACTTCACCCTCAGCAAAACCAACCTGGCACGGATCAGAGAGATCATGGAGAGGTTCGGGAGGCAGCCGGTCAGCCTGCCGTCCCGGCGGCTGAAGCTGCGGGGGCGCAAGCGACGACAGCGCGGGTGACCTCCTCCTGGACCCCTGCAATGAGCCCCCCGACCCCCGCTCCACGGAGGGCTCCGTCCCTGTTGTTTCCTCGTAATTCCAGAAGGCCTGGACGAATGTCTGCCTTGCACGGTCCCGGGGGAGGGCCACGGGCTTGGGATATTTTTCCTTTTCTTGGTTCCCTTGTGTCCACGTAACCTGAACGGAGGAGCAGAGAAAGGCAGGTTGGAGTGAGCGAGTCCAGCAGGGCAGCCTGAGACTCCCAGAGTGAGAGGCGCTTGCCCGTTCGGGACGAGCTCGGGAAGGGGGCCGGCGCCTCCCTGTGTGTGACAGCAGGGATTCCCCCGCGTCTGCAGTTTGCTGGCCTGCCTTCTCGGGCACCCCCGGGCTCTGCCGCCCCAAATGCCATCATCTGAGTGGCTCTGGGCTTTCTTTCTAAGAGAATCCAGCCTTTCTTCCTCTGGGACATTCCAACTGCTGGAAATAAACTCACACTCTGAATAGACAGTAGATCAGTGAGCATCAGCCAGCCCTCTGAGTCCACTTAGTTTCCCTTTCAACAACAGAATGTGTTCGAAAGAGGGGAGGAAGCTTGAAATCACTCAAGAGTGATGGCTGAACAGCGGGCACGGGGCCTCGTTGCGTGTGTGTCCTGGGTCCGGAGAGAACCGCCCCACCCAACTCCTTGCTGATCCGGTAGCCCTGGGGGTTCCCTGGGCTAGGAGAGCAGGAGGCCCAATCTTTTTAGGGCCAGTTCGTATGGCCTGGCTCCCTCTTTGACCTGTTAGGACTTGAAAAGGGCCTGTACCGCCCCTTCTGTTCAAGACACCCTCCCTTTCATGGCAGTGAACCCCCCGTGTTGGCCTGACATCACTCATTTTGAGTGTGGAATGCCAGCCCTTCCTCACGCTGCTTCCCGGCAGCTCAGCATCACCTGCGAGTGCTCAGCATTGGTCCAGGAGGGGTGACTGGTGACCGTGCAAGAAAACAGTTTGTCTCACCTTTTAGTAATTTTGCTGCCTCACTGACCTGGAAGAAAGAAAAATAAAGCAAATGGTAAGATCCTTCTAGTGTGTGGTTTTTTGAGGGGTAGAATCTCAGCTACCCAAATGTCACACCCCATGCCTCAAAGCACAGTCACCCACCCCCAAAAAGTGCCTGCTTGGGAAGGTCATTCTGCACCACTTTGAGCTGGATACCAGTGACCTCTATGTCCCCTCTCCTTCCCAGAGAGGCCTGGGATTGATGTATAACTCTAGACACCTGGGGTCCCTCCGGGGCCTCAGTTTCCCTGTCTCTAAAATCAGGGGGATTGGAAAAACAAATCATCCCTATTGTCTCTCCTCTCCTTCCTTGCTCAGAGTAGACAGAGCAGTCAGCTGAAGCATTCTTTCCACTGAGCCTGGACACGGCCTCTGAATCCTTCTTAGGATTCAGAAAGAGGAAAGCTGGTTGTCGCCTTGGATTCATTGATCTTGGGTGCCCTCAGCTCTGAGACCTGCCGCTCTCCCCTGCACACACCAGAGGCATGGCAGCACCATGCATAGTAGCCCAAAAGTGGAAGCAGCCCAACTGTCCCTCCACTGACGAATGGAAAAATAAACGTGGTTTATCCAGAGAGCAGAATATGATACCTCAGTATGGGTGGACTTGGAACACGACACCGAGTAAAAAAAGTTAGTCACCACAGGCCACTTACTGTGTGATTCCATTTATATGAACTGTCTGGAACATGTTCGTTTCCAGCAACAAAAAATAGTTCTGCATTTGCTAGGACTGGAGGATGGAGAGTTTGCTGGGAGAGGAATGGCTAAGGGGAACGGGGTCTCTTCTTGGGGTAATGAAAATATTCTAAGTTTGATTGGGGTGATGGTGACACAACTCTGAAATAAGGGAATAAGGTTGAATAAGGGAACTGTCAGGAATACATTATATCTCAATAGAGCTCCTTTAAAAAAACCACTTCGGCCATACCTGATTAATAAACATCATTTTCAGGTATGACATTCTAGGCAAGACCTTAGATACATAACCAATTTTTCAAATTACATCCTAGTTTAAAGGATTCCTACTGAATCTGTGCAAATAACTTAATCTCCATCCAAAGTAAGGAGACTAGATAAAAGCTTCAAAAATCAGGAGTTAAAAACCAAGGCAAATAAAATTTGCTTTCCAAGTTTGTTCTTTGTTAGCTCCTTTGTTTTCTAGAATAAATTAGCACATTATTTAAAATAGGTATCAGGGATCTGCAAGGCCAGATCTATTTTATTTATCAACTATTATTTAATTATTATTTATTTATCATAAATAATTTTTAGTTATTTGTTTAATAAATTATTGACACAATTATTTTTGTTCTCTTCAAATATGCCCATAAGTAAAATTTTCAATACAGAAAACACTGATAGTTATAACTTTAAAAATCAAAAGCTCTATGGATCCCTTTGTAAATTTTATGAGGGAAATGATATCTGGAAACTGAAAATCTGAGAAATATTGCTATGTTGCTTTAGGAGAAAACTGTTTTCCTTGAAAAATAGAAGCGCAAACACAGTTGCATTTTTTTTTTGTCACCAAAGCTTCTAATATCATCACAATCACTTATATCAATTATAATTTTTAGCAGAAGTAAATCATTTCTCTCTCAGAGAACTGTCTGTGGGATGGTTAATTGCAAACTGCTACCCCACACCAATATTTCTGAAAGCTAGCAGAGCTCATGAATTTACATAATAACTTTCTGTAACTACAATACCTTCCTTAAAGAATTGCCAAATACTCTAGTACAAAAATGTGCATGTCCATTAATATGCCTCACTGCATATACAAATAAGAAGAAAAGGTCTATAAATCCAAAATTATGCTTATAAATCAATGTTTCAGCATTCATCTTGCTGAGAAATGATCTAAGCATCCAATGATTATCCATTAACTAATAAAATTTAATACCAATCTAAGAGTATAAATTACTGAAAGATGTTGGAAATTACCTTTAAGTTGACACACTATAAAACATAATTACGGTTGACGTATAGAAATTTGTCAGAATAATGATTCAATTTAGTTGAACACAAATATACATTTTTCAAACCCTGAAACATTAACTAGGAATAATATTAGCTTATTTCATGAGTAAAAATGAGTAAGTGCAGAAAAAAATACCTAGTAGAACAAAATGAGGCTTATATAATACTAATTAATTAGAGAAGGTTCAGCTGTTTTTTATTAAATCAAAATTATTAAACTAGTTCCATTTCCCAAAGATTTGCCATAAACTGTATACATTCCTAGTATGCTTTTAAGTTTGCTTTGGCAAACATTCAAAATATTGCAAGTTTAATGTCTTTTTTTTTTTTGATGATTTTAGGAAATAATTTCTGTCTGTTTTCATTGATCTCTATCAGCCAATCAGAATTTTTCTCCTTTCATTTAAGCCATTTTGTAATTTAACTTATTACCATCACCTGGAGATAGGAAATCATCAACTACACAGTGGAAGGTAAAGCCCTTCCTGGATTTCAGAGGCAAGGATATTCATGGAGAGCCTATAACTTCTATTCTACATTTTAGCTGCTTTCACAAGAAATAGAAGACTAGAGAGCTAAAGGTCACCAGCTAGACCAGAGTGGGCCCTTTGCCCTTGTGGGAAAGAACTCACCAGAGAGCACTGGGTAGAGTTGAACAAGGCAAGGCTTTATTAGAGGCGCATGCATGAGGGAACCAGGGCCAAAAATCAGAATTTAAACTGTTTCCCCAAAGGGTGTTGGAGGAGACATTCCAAGGGTGGGAGTGAGAACAGCGAGCGTCCTAGCTTATAGGTGAGCCCTTACTCCCAGCAGCAGCCACCGCCTTTCTGCCCACAGACTGCTCGTATGTTTCGCTTTCTGCTTGTGAAGCCTCAGTCCTGGAGCATGCCCTCCCCACCGGACGATGGGTATGAACTTGTAAACACTCCAACTCCTTTGACCCCTGAGGAAGACATTTCTGGGTTAACACTATAGAGTCCCTAGAGCGCTCAGAGGCACTGGTCAAGGTCGCCTTCGGTGGACTTGGCTTAACCTCACGCTTTGGCTCGGACTTCATTCCTGATCCAAGGTCTCCCATCAGGTTTTCCCAGATTCATTTCCCAACAAACGCCTTCCATACAAATCTTCCTTGCAGATACTGCTTCTGGAAAGCCCAATCTAAGGGTCAATCTGATATTCCCTTCATATTTAGTCACTGAACCTTCGGTACATTCAGTTTATTTTCAAGAGTTAATAATGACAAGGAAAAGACTACATTTCTAAACTGGCCTTGTGGGTAAGTTTATAAGCTCAGGATGATGAGATAAAAGTGAAAAATCCACACAAGTGAAAATAAAGAAAGGAGGGCCTTTTTTGTTCCCTCTTCTCTTTACTTCCATCAGCCTGGGACAAAGACAAGCAGGCTGGCGCTCCAGCAGCCATCTTGTAGGCTGAAGATGGAAACCAAGTTTGGAGGATGGCAGAACTGGGGCCTGGAGACACCAGGTGCCATGACAACATCAGTTATTTTCCCCTGGGCATTTCCAAACTCTCATTTCAGCCTTGATTTTCAGGGCTTTTTAAATTATAGGCAGCTGATCTTTATCCTTGCTGATACAAGGCTCAAATTCAGGTCTCTCGAAGGCAAGAGTTAGCATCTCTAAACCATAAGCAATACTGAACTCCGGAATAGTTTTGCATATATTTTTCTAATTCAGTCTGCCTCAGAACTTTAGAAACCAAAAGCCAAAATGCTAAACTGTGACTAAAAAGAATAATAGTGTTGCTGGGGTGTTTTCAGTTTCAGTTTCCAAGTGTTTCATTATGCACTGAGGTCTTTTATGAACCTCCTCACCAAATCACCTACTATTTTGAGTTTTTCTCAAGTTGTCATTGGGTACTACTTCCTAGTTCAGCAGTCATTGTTAAGGATTCTAAAGTGAGAATAAAAATATTTCAGGACCTTGACCTTGTTGGAATTATAAACACCACCGTGTTCACACATTAGGGTGGGAACTTTCAGCTTGGTGAATCCATATCAGCAGCCCTAGATAATTTTTTTAAAGATTTACTTTATTTATTTATTCATATAAGAGCTGGGGTGCAGGCCAGAGATGCTGGGGGTGGTGATGCAGTGAGAGGATTCACCAGAGTGGGAAACAGAACAGGTGGATCTACTGAAATACACTGCTGAGGGGAAAAGCGGGCGAGACAGGAGAGGTCTGCTGCGCCATGTGGGTTAACTCCCTGGCTGGGGATTGAACTCGTGCTGCAATGGCTGCCGATAGTTTCATAGTGCTGAGACCTAACCCTCTGCACCATGAGGGAGGCCCCAGCCCTGGATAATTTTGCATTTGCAGAGAATATAAGCATGATGTTTCAAAACATTGTTTCATGCCTTTTAGCTAATCAGTAAAAACATTTTTTTTTTTTGCAATATATTTCTTTTGATTAACAAAAAAGTAATGAGTTTTTCCTTGCTTGCCTGGTTACTTCTGTTGGGGCATAAAGGAACTCATCCCACACACTTCTGGGCTCTTCCAGGCTGGCAAATAATCAAACAGGCATCAGACAGATTGATAAGCGAAAAAGCCAGTATGAATCCCTCCCATGTGGGAGACCCAGAATGGCTGAATATCTCACCCAGACAATGTCTCCTGGGACAGCTTAGCTAAGACAAGGGAGGCTTGGGGAAGACAGGGAAAGATCAATTGGAGAGATAAGGCATTAGGTCTTAGAGAAGCAAACATAAATATCAAAAACAACCTCCACCCAGACTTCAGAGCCTCTACCCTGAAATAAACGTCTTGCCAAAAAGACTTATTTTAGGGAGCCAGACTCTTTCCTCCCCTATACTTCATTAGCAATTAAATGAGCTCTGTTCTCTTAAAATCACAGCAAAGAAATATGATATGTTGGGAAGGGGTAAGTTTGAATCAGGTGGCAGAAGGGTGTGAGAAACTGAATCTATAAGTGGTCAGTGGCCTGACTGTTAGAGGAATACAATGGAGCAAACTCAGAGCCAGTGAGTGACATCATGAATGAACTTCACCCTCGGGTGACTTTTTGCTTCTACCACCCCTCCCCCTATCTCTATACTGAGGCAATGTCAGGAGCCAAGGACTACGGCTCCAGGCATGCCATGAGACTGACTTCCCGAACAAGGAACCTCTGGGAACTAGGAGAGGATTTAAGCAGCCATGCTTGGCTTGTAACC